ATGGTGAAACCCCATCTTAAAAAAAAAAGAAGAAAAAAAAAAAAGAGAAGACATTAATTTTTTGGGGGGTGTGTATGAATTAATTCTTTGAATATGAAAATAAAGAGAAAAGACGACTTTGCCCAGGTTTAAGGGGTAAGGAAAAAGGATTCAGGGAGGGTCAGGAACTTAAGGCCTCGAGCACCTGCACCTCCAGCCCCACTTGTCAACCCGCCAACCCGCTAACCCTCCGCAGCCTGGGGACACCAAACAGAGGCCAAGATGGCGTCAGCTGGCTGGGTCTCGCCTGCGACCCCCGTGACTCTGCACTGCGGCAGCCGAGGCGAGGCTGCGCTCCATTGGCCAACTGAGATGAGGTCATTGCGGGGGCGGGGGCCGGCGGCGGCGCAGGGGCGGGGCTTTGCGGACGCACGCGCGTCGAAGCTCTGCTCCCGGAGCTGCGGCGACTGCGGGCTTGGCTGCGGCGGCTGCTGTGGCGGCGGCGGTGGGAGGTGAGCTGGGGCTTAGGTGCAGCGCAACGGGGAGCAGCCCTCGATGGACGTAGGAAATTCTTCCAAGAGCCCCCTTAATTGTCAAAGGAATTAGCAGGGACCTTAAGTCTTCGAGATAAAATGGGGGTTCGTCCCTTCCTCTGGCACCCCTCCTCTGTCCTTTGGAAGCCCTGAATCCCTTCCCTGTTTCTAGAGGTAGGCGGAGGAACCGGAGGTTATTGATAGGCAGAAGAATTTAGGGGACTTCTTAAAGGGTCTCTCAGTTTGGAGGCTTTCCTTTCCTTTTTTCCCATCCCGAGGTAGATGTGCCTCGGTCCAGAGAATTCCTGCTCATTGGGTAGACGGGAAATGAAGCAGGTGAATACCCTGGGAGGAGGCGAGGACCGGGTGACTGGAGTGAGATTCTTCGGGGCAGGGCGCGGGGGCGTTGTAGTTGGACTCATCTTTTGCAGAGTTGCTGTTTCTTCGTATTTTGTTTTGTGATCGTCCAGAACTGCTTTGGCCTAATTAGTTTTCTGTTAGCCTCCATTGCTAAAGAGATATTCTTGGGAGACCTGTAATCATTAAAGAGCAGGAGGTGGGAGGCGACTCGTTGGAGGCTATCATTATCCGCAGCCTCCGAACTATGATGATCAGGCCTAATTTTATATGTTTAGAGGTTGTAGAATCTCTCTTTGTTGAAGGGTGGTGCTGGTAACAGCTGATTTGGATGATTCAGGTGTACAAAATCTTAAAGTCAACCTACATATTCTCTTCAGAAATCCTTGCTTATATCTGAGCGTGTGTCGTTGTCTTGAACATCAAATGCACAAAGGTTTGTTCGTTCAGATTTCTCAAAATGTTTCCCAGCCTTCCAGAAGAGTAAATCTTCCTTTGATATCAGACTCATCTATCAGTACTCGTCTATCAGTACTCAATAAAGATGCCCTTATGACACTAAAAATACTGTACGTTTTGTGAAGTTTGGGTACTGGCTGGGCTGTGCCTTACATTAGCTGATCGAGAATAAATAATTGCAGTTTCAGGACCACTGATAGCGCCAGTTGTCTCATACTTGGCAACCCTAAGACAGCCCTAAAAACGAAACCTTTATTGGCTCATGAGATTTGACAGATGGAAGAATGTAATTAATCTTGAAGGTAGGGATGAGAACAGAAAGCTGCAGAGGTGGAAGGCTTATTCTCTGTGGCTTGATAAAATTGCTTTGTCATTATCAATGTGTTCCTGTCATGCTTAATTTGAAATTGAGCTTAATATGCAAGCTGGTTGCTTTTTCCAGATAATGGTAATTTGTTTGAATTCCTAAGGGAGGAAATATTGTTTTCTGAGAAATCTGGAAGATTAAACCCTTAGTGTAGCCATAGCTTTAGGTTAGTGCCAGAACTTTAGGCTTTTAGAAATGCGCATTGTGAGTAGAAGGGGGAAGGACAGTTACAAGGCAGACATCTTAATGAGAGGGTAATCAAGGCCTCTTCTGTTTGTTTCCTGCAGTAGCAAAAACAGATTGAACATTGTGGAAGTCACTGCCTCAATACTGTGTCCTGGGTATTTAAAGAGTTGTTTGGGGTTCCCCGTTCCTGTCTTTAATCTGGGTACATTCTTACCTATTGAGTTGCCCAAAATATTGTCATTTGATCCTGATGTTGACTGCAACTGAAGTGACTTTTCATCTGGCACTCTATGGGACAGGATTCAGGAACTGCCTTTGCAGTTTCCCCTTTCCATCTTTCTAGGCAGGATGTCAGAACAGTTGTTGACCTGTCGTCACGGGGTGGAAGAAATGTAAATGCAAGAGCCTTAGTGGGGTGTAATTTGCTCTTAGCCCTCTTGGTAATTTCCAAAGTTATGTCATTTTTCTCCTTGCTTCAGGTTGGAGAGAAATCCAGGTACTCAGTTGATTGGTACTTTCTGCCACCATGGGGGAGCTTTTCCGGAGTGAAGAAATGACACTGGCCCAGCTTTTTCTACAGTCAGAAGCTGCTTATTGTTGCGTCAGTGAATTAGGAGAACTCGGAAAGGTTCAGTTTCGTGATGTAAGTAGTTGTGGGACTGCGACTTGATTACTGCTGAACTCTGTTATCATGGTCAGCTGCCTTGTGATGAATGTTTTGTTTTTTATTTGCAAAAATAACATTATAGCACTGGCTTCCTTTTGGCAGAATGCACATTTTGAGTTGTCTTTCTAGAGGTGAGAATGTTTGTGCCAATCCTTCTATGCCTTTGCTAGCTCCCACTTTGAGGACAGTCCTAAGTATTCTCCCGGTAATTGTTTGGGATGCAGGGAGAGGTTACCAAACTAACCCGATTAGGGCTTTCACTTTTTAGGGGGGCTCTTTAACATCTATAGCAGGATATTTAAAAATATATATTAGCTGGGTGTGGTGGCTCATACCTGTAATCCCAGCACTTTGGGAGGCCGAGGTGGGCGGATGATCTGAGGTCAGGAGTTTGAGACTAGCCTGGCCAACATGGTGAAACCCCGTCTCTAGTAAAAATACAAAAAATTAGCTGGGGGCGGTGGTGGGCGATTGTAATCCCAGCTACTTGGGAGGCTGAGATAGGAGAATCGCATGAACTCGGGAGACAGATGGTGCAGTGAGCTGAGATCTTGCCATTGCCCTGTAGCCTGGGCAACAAGAGTGAAACTTTGTCTCAAAAAAAAAAACCATACATATATATGTGCGTGTGTGTGTGTGTGTATATATATATGTGTGTGTATATATATATGTGTATATATATATGTATATATATGTGTGTGTATATATAGTAGTTTTTCCATCCAGTAAGACGTTTAAAAAAAATCAAAATTTGACATATCCAGCTATAGATATATAGTATATAAATAAGCATATATTGAATATTCATTATTTTGGAATATTATACTAGGCACTTGGAGAAGCTATCTAAAGAATGTGAACAATCTAGGGCGGGCGCAGTGGCTCACGCCCGTAATCCCAGCACTTTAGGAGGCCGAGGTGGGCGGATCACGAGGTCAGGAGTTTGAGATCAACCTGACCAACATGGTGAAACCCCGTCTCTACAAAAAATACAAAAAATTTTACTATCTACTTAAGAGGGAAACATTCCATATATAATTGAAACCTCCTGTGCATACTTCCTCCATGCCAGTCTTCTTTCTTCCACCCCAGAAGTAACCCATACAGTGATTTTATTTTTGCTTTTAGTACTTCTGTGTGTGGGTTTTTTTGTTGTTGTTGTTGCTTTTCTTTTTGAGACAGAGTCTCGCTCTGTTGCTCAGGCTGGAGTGCAGTGGTGTGACTCCACCTCCTGGGTTCAAGCGATTTTCCTGCCTCAGCCTCCCGAATAGCTGGGACTACAGGTGAGCACCACCATGCCCAGCTAATTTTTGTATTTTTAGTAGAAACGGGGTTTCACCATGTTGGCCAGGCCAGTCTGGAACTCCTGACCTCAGGTGACCCACCTGCCTCAGCTTCCCAAAGTGCTGGGATTACAGGCATGAGCCACCATGCCAGCCAACAGATTTTTTGTTTTCTTCTACTTCTGTTAATTTTTGTGTTTTCTTTTTGTTTGTTTTTATAAAAAAATTTATAACATTAAGAAAAAAAAATTGAGATGGGGTCTCATCATTTTGCCCAGGTTGGTCTTGAATTCCTGGACTCAAGCAGTCCTCCTGCCTCAGCCTCCCAAAGTGCTAGGATTACCAGTATGAGCCACTGTGCCTGGCTGAAATGTACACATCTTAATAGAACAATTTGCTGAATTGATAACTTTATGCACCTCTGTAACCAGCACCACAATCAGGATACAGAACTTTTTTTTGTTTTGGAGACGGAATCTCACTCGGCTGCCCAGGCTGGACTGTAGTGATGCGATCTCAGCTCACTGCAACCTCCACCTTCCTGGTTCAAGCAATTCCCCTGCCTCAGCCTCCTGAGTAGCTGGGATTACGGGCACCTGCCACCACCACCTCCCTACGCCCTGCCCTGGCTAATTTTTTTCATATTTTTGGTAGAGGCAGGGTTTCACCATGTTGCCCCGACTGATCTCGAACTCCTGACCTCAGGCAATCCACCTGCCTCGTTCTCTCAAAGTGCTGGGATTTCAGGCATAAGCCTCTGCGCTCGGCCACACTGCAAACTCTTATGTCTGACTGCTTTCACTTAGCCTCTGTTTTTTGCATGTGTCTGTAGTTCATTTTTAAAAATTGCCGAATGATAAATAGCTCATTTTATGAATATACCACAATGTTTTCATCCTTTCTTTTGTTATTACTCATTTGGGGGTATTATGATTAAAGCTGAAGTAAACATTATTGTAAAAGTCTTTTTTTAATTTACAAGTGTTGATTTTTCTTAAGCAAATAGAGTTGACCCTGAAAAATGCAGAGGTTAGAGGTGCTGATCCCCCCCATGCAGTAAAAAAATCTGCGTACAACTTTGACTCCCCCAAAACTTAATCATTGATAGCCTGCTTTTGACCAGAAGCCCTAACAATATCATAAACAGTCAATTAATACATATTTTGTATGTGTATTGTACACTGTATTCTTACAGTAAAGTAAGCTAGAGAAAAGAAAATACTGTTAAGAAAATCATAAGGGGGCCGGGCGCGGTGGCTCAAGCCTGTAATCCCAGCACTTTGGGAGGCTGAGGCGGGTGGATCACGAGGTCAAACGCTCGAGACCATCCTGGTCAACATGGTGAAACCCCGTCTCTACTAAAAATACAAAACATTAGCTGGGCATGGTGGCGCGTGCCTGTAATCCCAGCTACTGAGGAGGTTGAGGCAGGAGAATTGCCTGAACCCAGGAGGCGGAGGTTGCGGTGAGCCGAGATCGTGCCATTGCACTCCAGCCTGGGTAACAAGAGTGAAACTCCGTCTCAAAAAAAAAAAAAAAAAAATCATAAGGAAGACAAACTATATTTACTGCAAGTGGATCATCATGAAAGTCTTTATCCTTATTGTCTTTATGTTGAGTAGGCTGAGGAGGAGGAAGGGGAGGGGTTGGTCTTACTGTCTCAGGGTGGCTGAGGTGGAAGAAAATCTGTGTATAAATGGACCAGCACAGTTCAAACCCACATTGTTCAAAGGTCAACGGTAACTGAGTAGTGGAATGCTCAGTCAGGGGTGGGAAGGTATAAGTTTAACTTTGTAAGAAACTGCCAACAGTTTTCCAAATCTTTTACTTCTTTTCTAATAGCATTTATCACAACAAATTGTAATGATTGGTTTGCATCTGTCTCTTCTGTGGAGCTGAAGACTGAGACATAGCTTGTTATTATTAATGACTCTCTTTAATAAAAATTTTTGCCTTAGATTCCCTCTAATATTAATATATTGAGTTCTTGAAGAGAGAACTGTTGAATGCATGGATATGTATGTGTGTGTTTTTATGTTTCTATGTGTGTATGCGTATAATATATACACACACGTATGTGATTAAGCTCATAAATTGTGTTGTTCAACTTTTCAAATCAAGGACGCAGCTTTCTCTGTATTTTCTCTAGTGCCTAGTTCAGTGTCTGACACATATTTGGTACTTCATAAATGTTGAGTAAATATAGTTCTTTATTTATGTAACTTTTATAGAATTTATCACATACTATTTTATTGGTTGGGTTCATCTTCTCTATTTGATTACAAGCTATTTAATTAATTTAGTTATTTATTTTTGAGACACAGTCTTGCTCTGTTGCCCAGGCTGGAGTGCATTGGCACAATCTCGGCTCACTACAACCTCCGCCTCCCAGGTTCAATTGATTCTCCTGCCTCAGCCTCCTGAGTAGTTGGGATTACAGGCCTGTACCACCATGCCCGGCTAATTTTTTGTATTTTTAGTAGAGACAGGGTTTCACCATGTTGCCCAGGCTGATCTCAGACTCCTGAGCTCAGACAGTCCTCCTGCCTCGGCTTCCCAAAGTGCTAGGGTTACAGGCGTGAGCCACCACGCCCAGCCTTTTTTTTTTTTTTTTTTTTTTAAATTTTTTTTTTTGAGACAAGAGTCTCGCTTAGTTGCCCAGGCTGGAGTGCAGTGGCATAACCTTGGCTTACTGCAACCTCCGCCTCCTGGGTTCAAGCGATTCTCCTGCCTCAGTCTCTGAAGTAGCTGGGATTATAGGTGCATGCTACCACATATTTTGTATTTTTAGTAGAGACGGGGTTTTGTCATGTTGGCCAGGCTGGTCTTGAATACCTAACCTCAGGTGATCCACCCACCTTAGCCTCCCAAAGTGCTGGGATTACAAGCATGGGCCACTGTGCCTGGCTGGATTGCCAGCTTTTTTTTTGAGATGGAGTCTCTCTCTGTTGCCCAGGCTGGAGTGCAGTGGCCTGATCTCGGGTCACTGCAGCCTTTGCCTCCCATGTTCAAGCAATTCTCCTATCTCAGCCTCCCTAGTAGCTGATGTTATAGGCACCTGCCACCACGCCCAGCTAATTTTTGCATTTTTAGTAGAGGCAAGGTTTCATCACATTGGTCAGGCTGGTCTCGAACTGCTGACCTCAGGCTATCCACTTGTCTTGGCCTCCCAAAGGGCTGGGATTACAGGTCTAAGCCACTGTGCCAACAGATTGCAACCTTTTTAGTGAGTAGGAACTTTTTTTTAATATTCCAGAACACCTATTATATTACTTTGAAAATTACTTGTGGTGCCAGGCACGGTGGCTCATGTCTGTAATCCCAGCACTTTGGGAGCCGAGGCGGGCGAATCACAAGGTCAAGAGATCGAGACCATCCTGGCCAACATGGTGAAACCTTGTCTCTACTAAAAATATGCATAATTAGTTGGGCATGGTGGTGTGCGCCAATAGTCCCAGCTACTTCAGAGGCTGAAACAGGAGAATTGCATGAACCTGGGAGGCAAAGTGAGCCAAGATGATGCCACTGCACTCCAGCCTGGAGACAGAGCGAGACTCCATCTCAAAAAAAGAAAATTACCTGTGGTATATTGGCATATGAATGAATAAACCAAGCCTGTCACTGAGAAGGTGAAGGCCTTGGTACAGAAAAACAAGAGAAGTTCCTCTTCTGCTTGGAAAAAAAGAGAAAGAAAACCAGAGAGAGCTTCTGTGATATTCATTGCCCAGATTTTAAGTGGTGGGAAGGAAGCTCACTGAGACTTTTGGCCTAGGAAGAACATTTTGTACCATCATGCTTTACCTAATTTGCCTCCATTCCAGTAATGTTACAGCAACAAGGGAGGAAGTTTTTATTGTTAGCTGGTGTGAATGGCCATTAAGCAATTTTTTTTTGGATCAATAGACAATTTTTATTAGTGTTGCATCCATGCATTGACACAAAATTAGTTTTTCACTTTGCAGAATGTGTTGCTTGAGAAACAGAAGAAATAAATCCAATGTTTCAATGTTTGTTATTGTGTTTTTATTTTTCAGTTAAATCCAGATGTGAATGTTTTCCAAAGGAAATTTGTGAATGAAGTTAGAAGATGTGAAGAAATGGATCGAAAGCTCCGTATGTGCATTTTGGTCATGTGTAATGTACCTTTAATGAATCATTTGTCTTAGATTAGTGACATTGGTCCTCTTAACAGAGAAAGAAAGTGCTGTAAGAGAAAAGGAAAAGGAAAAATCTAGCAGTGGAGATGTTAAGGTGAATTTCTTGTATGCAGGTAGATTTTGTGGTCTTTGGGCTAAATAGTGATTCATGGAAACCTCATTTGAAATAACGTGCTTCAAGCTGAAAATTGTGGTTATTATTATTATAATTTTTGTGTGTGAGATTTTATTTATTTATTTATTTATTTTTGAGATGGAGTCTCGCTCTGTCACCAGGATCTCGGCTCGCTACAACCTCTGCCTCCCAGGCTCAAGCAATTCTCCTGTCTCAGCCTCCTGAGTAGCTGGAACTACAGGCATGTGCCACCATGCCCAGCTAATTTTTGTATTTTTAGTAGAAACGGGGTTTCATTATGTTGGTCAGGATGGTCTTGATCTCTTGACCTCATGATCCATCTGCCTCAGCCTCTCAAAGTGCTGGGGCTCCAGGGGTGAGTCACTGCGCCCGGCCTTGTGAGGTTTTTTTTTTTTTTTTTT